GGGAAAGAGAAGAGAAAAAAATAACTTCTGGGGCAGCTGAGGCGCAGTCCCACCTAGTCCCTGTTGGTTTCCATTGTCTGTAGGAAACAAAACAGAGCAGCCCCTTCCCCCCACCCCTTCCCTGATACTTGTTGGACAATGTCAAAAAAAACACAACATTTCTTTGTGTAGGCAATTTGTTTATGGCTGTGATACAATGTGAGCTGGCTGCACACGTGAGGCTACCGCAGATGGCAATTACAGACAGATTCCCTGGCCAGGAAAGGGGTTTAGTAAAGCTTTGGAGTGGCTGCATTTGTTTTTGTTTCTTAACACATTAGGGTAAGTTCTTAAGCCTTTTAAGTGTTTGGAGGAAGTGTTTTCTGAAAATGTGTCCTACGTGGCTCTGGAGAGCAAGCTGAAAGTCTGCTCACAGCATCTGGCAGTCCCATGCAGAAAGGAGTTTTCATGCAAGACGCTTGTAGTTTGCAAGTTTGGCAGAGCCACCTGCAGCTCGCGGATGGAGGAGCAAAGGGGTGCGCGATTTTAGCCGGAGCTGTGTTCGAGGTGTGCTCAGGGTATCTAAGTCCCATGGGCTCAGCCTGCATCCCCCTTCACGGGCAGTTATTGACCAGAAAATCTTTTCCGTCAAAACTTCCTTTCTGCATCTGGTAGGGCAGCAATACCTTTTGGTGGCAACATGCTGGGCAGGAGGCACAGCTTTGAACCTGCATTTGATTGTGCTGACATTGAACCTGCAAAGGGACTACTGCTGCCTTAAACTGCTCCATATTTCGGTGATGCTGTTGCCCAACTGACCCCTCTTCTCCAGAGCACCAGGAGCAACTGTGGAGGTAGCCAGGAAGGAGCATGCAAGCTCCGTTACCTTCAAAGGGTTTATGCGAATCTTGATCAGAATCCAGTTCAAGCGACTGTGAGCCGGATCGTACAGTTATTTGATGAATGAGGGAATGATTTTAACTGGGTGATGAGAGGGTAATCTCACTGAGGAATGGGGGGGACAGTACAGTCAGGTAGTGATGGGTGAGACATGATGCCACCACATAGTTTGGGAACAGCATAATCTGTGGACTCGTCCTACTGTGATTTCTGATTCCACTGTCTCACATTTGAGGGCCATGTGAATTATTTGAAAAGTAAAAGGGTTGTTTCTTAGCTTCCCCTTTTTTTCTTGCGTGCTGGTATTTCTAAAGGATCAAGGCACTGGTTTTCCTGCCAGCCCTTGCTTGTGTTTAGGGAGGGGTTTGGCAGGCACCGCAGGGATTTTCCAGCACTTGGACTCTTTTCAAAGACTTATTTTCCATCAGTGTTGTTTATCTATTTCCTTCATTTTTTGCTCACAGCACAATTAAAGAATCCTAATATAGTTCCTAAAACAGAGATTTTAGCTGCTGGTTTGCTGTTAGCCAGGGTCTCCGAGATAGAGCCAGTGATTGCTCACCTATATCTCCATAGTGTAGAACATTGTCCCCAGTTAAGCTGAGTCGTTTAGGAGGGATCTGTAGGGCAGAAAGACCTCCGCTTTCATGGCAAGGCCCATGGGCTAGAATTGCTGCTTACTGGGAAATATCCAAGTTGATCCTCCAAGGGTTTTCAGAAAAAATAAAGAAAATAATAATTATGGCACAATTATATGGAAACTGCGAAGCTCCTTTATACTTAAACTACCTGCATATTGGAAACCCTTACTGGTCTAGTACTCGTTAGTCTTTCTACCCTTACATCTCAACCTGTTCACATAAAAAACCCTGGTGTGCGCATCTAAAATGTCTCATCTGCTAAGATGCATCTTGGTGCTTAAAAAAAAAAAAAAGCCCTGTTGTTTTCAAGCATCTGTCTTTGCCTAAAATCACACTTCTCTTATTTATTTGCTCTGCAGATTCCTGAAATAAAACAGCCTTTGGTCCCCAAGATCGAATCCCCAGAAGGGTATTATGAAGAGGCTGAGCCATATGACGTCTCTGTAAATGGTATATCACAGCTAACTGTCTGGAGGGTTTTGCCTGGAAGAGAAAACTTGAGGCTTAGGAGAACCAGTAAACAAAAGTGCAATTCCTATAGCTTGTGTGACAAGTTTATTTACTAATGTTGGTCATATTAATGTTACAGATCTAATGTTTGAAAGAAAAGGCTAATGAATCACTCAAAGTTTTAAGCTTCCTGCACAAATTAGTAGTATGTCTGGGTCAACACATCATCACTGTAAAATATTACAAGCAATTGTGGATTCTTTTTGCCTTAATGTTTTTCTAGAAGATAGGCTTTAGTCAAATGCAAGAGTATTTAGGATTTTTCTATTTAGAAGTAATTGGTGAAACTGTGGTGACTTGCATTTATGTGCAGCTGGTCTAATGGTCCCTTTGGGGCTCAAAATCTATGAATCTGTTGATCTGTTAGACTTAAGAGCAGTTTTTATAACTGATTATTTAAAACAACTACGTCTCTTTTGGTAGTTTATTAACCATCTGTAAACTGGTTTTAGAAGCCACACTTCACATAAGGGGACAGCGTGCATGCTGTTACACTCCTTCTGTACACACTTGCTCATCGCCCTATGTCTGCACCTGCCAGTCATGTCTCTAGCAGCATCACTAACTTCTGTCACCTATGTATTCCCCATCCTCTTCAGGAGATTAGTGCATGTGGGTTGAGTTCACAGGTGCTCGCTCTTAAAGCTCTGTTCATGCATCCTTCTTCTGTTCAATACACCTTATGAGAGATTATCGCTCTCTGATCCGATAGCAGAGCTGACCTTGTTATCACTGTATAATCCGTTTGAGTGCAAATGAGAAAGATTAGATCACGCTGCTAGAAAAGTAGATCCCTGCCCATCAGCCTTGTCCGCAGCAGAGCAGGGTGCCTTCATGTGCACAGCGCAGGGGCAGATCGGAGTAGGGAGGCAGGCAGAGAACGGAGAGTTGAGGAGGAAGCTGGGTCTGGACTCTTGGCTCTTGTATCTGAGCTATTCAAAGTGAAGCTGAGTTCTCTCTTACCCCAGTGGGCAACGCTGGGCTTTAAAGCTCCTTAACAGAAAAGCACTGGTGCTACCACTGCTAGAAATCACATGGAGTTTTTAAATTTACCTTAATACCATTACTACAGCATATGTACCTTGCACACAGGGGCAGCTTGTAGCTCAGTGTAGGCCACTCTCCTTGTGAAGGCTTAGGAGTTATAGTGCTAAGCAAAAAAAGAGCAGCGTAGAAATAACTTCACTTTCCTGAACCCCATCCCGTTTTGGCTGCCGCTAAATTACAGCTGTGAACAGGAAGACTGCTGCTGGCTTGGATGAGAAAAGGTGGAGACTCGTTGTGGCCAGGGTGAAACATGCTAGTTGGTGCAGAGGAGAGGTCAGGCTGGAGCTTGCTGCCCTCTACGTCTGCCAGGTGTAGTGCCAGCTTGGTTTTGTCAAAAGGGTCTGGGTTGTTTTACTGAGGTGGATGTGGAGCAAGGCTGTGACTAGCAGCGGGGTGGGCGAGGCTGAAGCCTTCCTGCAGCCAGAGCAGCATGTGTTGTTGCAGCCTCACTCTCTGGGATTTTCCGGTTGCCTGTAATATAAGATAAATTGACTTTTTTTTTTTTTTCCTCTGCTGCATGTTGGAAAGAGAATAATACAACTAAGCTAAGAACTGTGGCAGCTCCATACTCATATTTTATTGAAAGCCTTGACTGGCAGGAGCAATAAACTGGAGCCCAGCTTAAACCTCTGTTTTTTCTTGGTAACCTGCTGCTCAGAGATGCATATATATCTAGCATTCGCTGAAATTCAGACCGGTTAGATGCCTAAGGAACTGAGAGATCAGAGCCCCACGAGTGTGATAGAAAAAGCCCAAATGACAGGAACACTGTCAAAATGAGGTAATTTTGGGTGCTGACGGTGCAGTCTGTGGCTGCTGTTAATAGTTTTTTGAGCAGCTGGCTTAGTGTTTTACAGGTATAAACGTGCAGTGTGATGTTACTTATCATGAGTAAAAGTGCTGTAAGCTGACCCTACAGTCCCCTTGGCACAGTGTTAATAGGAGTCTTAGACAGAGGCATCCCCTTTGCTCTGCATCTGCTGCTGACTGTATTTTGAATGGGGTTATTCTGATAAAGCCAAACTGTGATGAGTAGGACCCAGGAGCAGAATCTGGGAGCTCATAGGAAGGAAAGCATCAGGGAACAGTCTGTGCTGGTGCTTTGTTCCCCCTGGTTTTAGAGCCCTTTGCTAGCGTATCTCAGGCCCCATATGGCTGTCCGCAAGAGGATCCTCCTCTCATTTACCACGAAAGGGGCAGAATCTCAATGCTGCTCCCTATTCACCAACTGGAAACAGTGAGAGCTACCTGTGTCCAGGGTGGAAACAAATTCCAGATTGAAATGAGAGCCCTGTTATATCTGGCTGCTGCTCTGGACTGTGTTTTAAGGCTTAGTTAAATAAAATCCTGTGATTTCCAAACCCGATTTTTCCTGTCCAGTGAATGCCAGGCACCACTGGGTGCTAGGTGCAGCCCTGAACCGTAAAAAGAGATACGAGCCTCTAAAGTAAACAGAGATGGAAACATGCAAGTTCAGACAATCCCTCACTGCTAAAGTGTGTGGTGTCTTTACCCTCCTATTAAATGCTAAATCACAGGTCCCTTCTGCAGGTCCCAGTGGGTTCCTCCTTCCGCACAAAACCACCTTGCGTATTGTCATGCAGACTCCTTTTACGGTGATTTGTGCAAGAAGGAAGAAGGCATTTTGTTGCTAAGAGTCTCTGTGTTTTTTGGGGTAAACTCATGTTTGTAGTGGTTCATTGGGGTGAATGGAAAAAAGGACTAGGCAAGGACAGATCCACAGTGATGTGAGAGGAGTAGGCAGAGAGGAGTGCGGGGGGGACAGGCAGTGGTATTGTGAAGCAGTTCGTGCCCCTTTTTGACTCAAGAAATAGGAGCTCAAATCCCATGGCACATGGGTCAAACCTCTAGGTCTTGGTTTTGCCCATTTGCCATTGGTTTAACAAGAACAAAACTGGAATCTCTGTCCTTCCCCCTTACCTTATTAGGTGATAATAGCACCCCTTGCCTGCCTTACGCAGTGATGCTTTTTGCTACTAACCGCTTTGAGATCTTAGCGTGACTGATGCTGCTAAAGGACGTTTCCTAATACGTATGGATTTGCCCAGACGCTTTCTAGCCAAATATGCTAAAATATGACTCCGCTAACCACCCAAGCCCTCTTTGCTCCCCTCCGCATCTCCTTGCCCTTGTAAGCTGAGTCAGAAAGAAGCAGGCGGTCTGGGGAGCTGCTCTTGGTGTTTCTAACAGAGTTGCAGTGCGAGCCTTGGAAGACCCCCCTGTATCTCCAAACAAATGGGTGTAGTAGAATTAAACAAAAATAGGAACATTAGTAAAATTAGTGAACGCGCTGCCAAGAAAGGACATCAAAGCAACCCTCCAGATGGGCTGAGGAGATAGAAGAGTCGTACAGTGCCAGAGGTGGGACTGCAAAACAGTGTAACAAACCATGGTTGAATTAATTAAAATGAACCAGGGCAGGCAAGACTGTTGGGTCTTGGGGTCCTTCTTTCATCATCAGGATTCCCACCTCTCCACTGAGGATGCCTCTGCCTTTTATTTTCCAGCTTCAGCAATCCTGCTGCTTCCCTTTCCTCCTGGGCTGAAACGTGTTAGACGATTATCATTCTTTTCTTGTGCTACATTTGCATAATTGAAAGGGTGTGATAAGAAACAGTGAAAATGCAAGGGGCAACGTGACTGCCGACTGAACAGTAATTATTCCAACTGACAAAGTTCATCTGCTCTGTCTGATTTTAATTACGACGATCTTTTTTTTTTTTTTTTTTTTTTTTTTTTTTTTTTTTTTTTTTTTTTTTTTTTTTTTTTTTTTTTTTTTTTTTTTTTTTTTTTTTTTTTTTTTTTTTTTTTTTTTTTTTTTTTTTTTTTTTTTTTTTTTTTTTTTTTTTTTTTTTTTTTTTTTTTTTTTTTTTTTTTTTTTTTTTTTTTTTTTTTTTTTTTTTTTTTTTTTTTTTTTTTTTTTTTTTTTTTTTTTTTTTTTTTTTTTTTTTTTTTTTTTTTTTTTTTTTTTTTTTTTTTTTTTTTTTTTTTTTTTTTTTTTTTTTTTTTTTTTTTTTTTTTTTTTTTTTTTTTTTTTTTTTTTTTTTTTTTTTTTTTTTTTTTTTTTTTTTTTTTTTTTTTTTTTTTTTTTTTTTTTTTTTTTTTTTTTTTTTTTTTTTTTTTTTTTTTTTTTTTTTTTTTTTTTTTTTTTTTTTTTTTTTTTTTTTTTTTTTTTTTTTTTTTTTTTTTTTTTTTTTTTTTTTTTTTTTTTTTTTTAAGAAACTGCCTTGTTCAAAGGGACTGGTTGAAAATGTCTCTTGGTCCCTCATCACTGTTTGAAGTTTCATTGTACAGCGTGCTCCCTTCATTGACACAGGGGATGGGGCAGTCTCACCGACAGAGATCGGGAACGTGGGCCTGAGCAAGACTGACTCACTTGTTCTTCATATTTGTTTATCTGTGGCTTTCTCTCTTTGTCTCCCTTTCTCTTTGCTTTTGATTGTGCAGGTCTTTTTGGTAGGCTTGCTGCGGCTGGACCAAGGCCAGGGTTGCAGGTTACTGAGGGCGTTATTTATGCCACAATAACGATGGGTATGGCGTATTTTCAAAACCTGACGTGCCTTTTTTTGTTTTTTGTTGTTTTTTTTTTAAACCTGAATTTTAGCAAAGATGGTCAGGTGCCTCCCACTGGCATTGTCCACTGTGTGCATGGAGGTTAACCACCTCTCCCCTCTGTCTGTCCTTGCTGCATATACACAGGGCAACTATTATTCTTTGTTTTGTTTCCCCATGTTCAGGACAACAATGAAGAAAACTTTTTTAGCCTTTATTTCCCCGTTTAGTGACTGATGCAGAGCTGATGCGTGGTAGCGTTAGCTGTATCGGCAAGCAATGGTTCAGTGAGCGTTGTAGATGCTTTGCAGAGGTAGAGGAAGCTCTGACCTACGGGATTGTTGTAATTTCCTGCATGACTATTGATTAACTTTCTCGGCAGCCCGTGGGAAGACCAAACAGGAAAGCAGCATGGTGGATCTAGATAAGGGCATCCCAGAACATGTCTGAAAGCCTCCTGGGTGTTTTTCTTTCAAAACCCTGTCTGGTTCCCAAATAGTTTGCAAGTGTCATTTTGCAGTGCTGACAATCTGGAAATCTCAATAACTCTAAACACTTTGAGAGGTGCAAGAGACTCTTTTCAGAAGCAGTCTAGGGAAACGGAGAGGGAGTGAGCCTGCATGTGGAGGGAGTCAGAGGATTCCCATATCCATGTAACAGGAGACTCGAGGAGAAACACATTCTGGTTTTGCAAAATGTGTCATCAGAGCATCTCTGCACTGTGTTGGTATCTGACCTTCTGCCTTACGGAGGCTGCCACTAATGTCCTGCAAAGAGAGGACAAAGCTCTGGTCTTAGCTGAAAATGCTGGTAGGTTACAATGAAGGTCTTGTATTGAAGCATCCAAGTTATATGACTCAGGATGGAGTGAGCTCTGGTAGTGGACATCTAATGAGAGTGATTTCTCAAGCCACGTGAGCAAGGTTTACCCTCACTTGCCAGCTATACAGCCCGGAAAATGCCTTCCTATCATAAGGCTGGACTAGCGTCCCCGGGCCAGTAACACCTCCAGCTCTTTAAGTATAGATCTCCTGAGGCAGTTGTGGTTTATGCACAAAAATCGCAGCCAAGGCCCCTGCTGTCAGCATGGAAGAAATGTGTTACCTCCCCGAGAGAAAGGTGGCAGCCTGAGGCCTAGGGCCTAGGTGAGGGGCACCGGAGATGCGCAGAAGGGGCAGAAGGGCAGTTAGCGATAGCCCCATGTTGATAAGGAGGGAGGTTTTAGGAGATAAGGTGCACTTAGACATCTTTGCTGCTGCTGCGTAGAGAAGGGTCCCTAGCAAGGCAGAGGCCCGGCTCCTTGATACTCCTAGGGATGAGGGACCTTGTCGCTTTTACTCCAGCTGATCTTCTGCTCCTGTGGACATGGTCTGCATATTGATAACGCATTGCCGGGGGAACATTTTCCCATAAAAGATGGACTGCCTGATGTGTTGAGGGTAGGGGCATGGTGAGAGTAGTATGCTGTAAAGGGCATTTTCAGAGCCTTTAGATGGGGATATTTGCTCTTTAATAAGTTTGTTTAATTTGTGCATCTTTGTGCTGATCACTGGAAGGCTGTTATTGTGTGAGATTTTACTGGAAGAGATGGCATAAGGCTGTAGCTTTGTTACTGCATCTCAGTTACTTTTATTTTAAGAACAGAAAAACTTAAGACTTGCTCTTCAGTGAAGCTCCTAATGCTTTTTGCTTTTTTCTAACTTTTTTATCTTTTTATTTTGCATCAATCTGATAATATTACTTTTGTGCAGATATTAAGTTCTGATGAGAACCACTCCAAAGCCCTTTGCTGTCCATTAGATTCTGAGTAGAGAGATCTGTTAGCCCAGAAGGGGAAAGTGGAATGACATCTCAAATACAATAGATCATTGCTTGTTGCATGGCCTTGCAAATATAATTTTTACTTCTGACATTCAGAGGACAAGGGCTGATTGTAGCTTGCAATTGCCTTAAAAATTTTGAGTATTTAGCTTGAAGTGGAAAGTAGAAAAAGCATCTTGGGGGGGAGAAAAGCAGCAAACATCAGAAAATGTCTAAGGGAATGTTCTTAAACTTGTGATTGACCAGGAAGTGTCTGTTGAATATTTGCTAATTGAGACTATTAGGCACAAAACATTGCAATGAAATTAATATTGGACCAGAAAGGAAAAAAGTTTATGAGGATTATTCTCCTATCGATTATCCTTCTGTAGGAAATCTTCAAAAGACACATCCTTGCACTAGGGGCTTTTGCATGTGTGAGCATGGCCGAGGCAAGCAATAGGCCCAGAATTAGCCTAGAAATGTATTTAGTGATAAAGATTTGCTTTTGTTGTAGAAGATGGTGAAGCTGTTAGTAGCTCATATGAATCTTATGATGAAGAAGAGAGCGGCAAAGGCAAGTCAGCAACCCATCAGTGGCCATCCACTGAAGCTACCATTGAGCTGATGAAGGACGCCCGCATCTGTGCATTCCTGTGGAGAAAAAAGTGGCTGGGACAATGGGCAAAACAGCTGTGTGTTATCAAGGACACCAGGTTGCTGGTGGGTAAATTCTCCATTTTCTGCCTGAAACAACCTATTTTCTTGAGCTGGAGAGGGAAGTGGCACCTCAGGCCACATTAATTAGCTGCCAAAACAAAGTACCTTTAGAAGTAAGACTTCAAAAACCGTCAAAGGAACTTGGGAGACTCAGATCCATTTTCTGAAGTGATGCGTGTATGGGGCTGCTGAGGGACAAGGGACACAGGGGCACGTCTGTGGCCAAACTTCCAAGGTGTTTGGGTGCATAGAGATTCTATCTGGAAAAACTTTCTCACGTGCTTAAGCAGAAGGGATACTTAACCCACAGGCTAACCGCTTTCATGACCTATAGCAGTATGTGTGAGAGGTGCTTAAGACTATATATGTATGCATGTGTACATGCATATACAGATGACCTGTGTGTAGTCTGTGTAGCTAGAAGACATTGCAACCTTATAGGACCTAAGCTGCCTTGTGTTCGGTGCACTTAATGCATGTGGTTGCATTGACTGCTTCTAGTGGTGAGTTCATACCAGCAAGAAAAAGGAAAGCCTTCTGTTCAATCTCTTATCTGAATTCTCTTCTTCCTTTCTCAGTGCTACAAGAGCTCCAAAGACCACAGCCCTCAGCTCGATGTGAACTTGCTGGGCTGCACTGTCATTCACAAGGAAAAGCAAGTGAGGAAGAAAGAGCACAAGCTGAAGATCATCCCCATGAATGCTGACGTCATTGTACTGGGGCTGCAGAGTAAAGACCAGGCAGAGCAGTGGCTCAGGGTCAGTGGAGCCCTCTGGGCTTGTGCTGTTTGTGGTCCCCTGCTTTGCCCTAGCTGGGGCTATGTGGTGTAAGGGCCTAGCTAAGCAGGTGTTGGTGGAAGGGACAAGCGAGTGTTGCTGGTCCAAGTGCTGTATGGCCATGTCATGATGGTGCTGTGCCAGAGGCTGTAAGAATTTGTGAAGGAAGGGGACACGTGGCCTAGCTAAAGCAGTAACTCTGCCTGTGCACAGTACAGCAGTAACTCAACTGTGCTGTTTTTGGACGGGAGCAGGCTCCAGTGTGACTGGCTCAGACCACAGGCAGTACAAGCTGGTATCTGTATTAACCTGTCTGTGTCGATGAACCTCAAGCTAGTTCTTGAAGCTTTAGTATGTGAGGAAGGTAACAAAGAACACAGGATTTTAATTCTGGCTGTCTGAGAAGGCAGGTCCCTGAGCTGCATTTCCTTAAGGCCTTTCCCAGGACTAAACTGCTGTGCATGTCATAGCAGCCCAGCGGGAGTCCTGCGTGCTGAGCGGGGAGTTTCTCGCTTCCTTCTCTGAGCTTCACAGGCTGCCTCTTCTGAGCAAAAACTCTGGTGCCTCCACGTGTGGAGCTGTGGCTCATCCTGTGGGAAGAATAGGATATCATAGAAAGGGGCTTTTGAAAGAATCCTCTAGAATTATTTTCTTGAGTCTCTGCTATACAGAAAGAAAGAAAGAAAGAGAGAAAGAAAGGTGGGGGTCCTACATGTCCCCAGTTCCTATGCAGGGTTGCACATCTCCCAGAGATGTTCCTCTGCCTAAATCCCAAACGAGCTTTGCTGGGAGACCATACTTCAGTCCTGTCCTTGCACGCTTTGACTCAGTTCCTCATTGCAATCCCATAAACAAATACACCGCTTCATTTTCATGTCCTGGGTTAGCTTCCTCCTGCAGCTCTCTGCTGCTTTCTGTTAGCAAGAGGCCACAGAGGGACTTCACAGCCCAACTGCTGCAACAGGAATAAAGATGGTCTTTCAGCCAAAGCACTGAACTCCCTGCACCAGCCTACATGAGGCTTCTTGGGAAAGGCTGTAGAGAGAGAAAGCAGCCCGTTTCATGTCACAGTGTGGGGGGCTGTTGAGAGGGAGAATGCCAGATGTGAAGTGGCTGTGGACAGCACAGGAAATGGGGCCCTTTCCCTGCGACGGCAGCAGAACAAAGAGCCTTTACAGAGCCTGGGGATTAACTCGGGGTGCAGAGGTGCTGGGTGCCTGCTCCAACTCCACTGAAGTCACCAGGGTCGCAGGGAGCATCAATCACAGTGGGATTTAGCTTGCAGAATTGTGGCTAGTTTGAGGCACTCAGGCAACAGGCATAGGGGTGGGGGAAGCTGCCCGGTTACCCCACCCACAGTTTTCCTGAGGCTTTATGCCAATGACAGTGAGAGTTTATGCCTCTGAATTTTCTCTCTCTCTTCCCAGCCTTCCCCTGCCTCAAATTTGTGTTCAGTCAACTTACAGTCCCACAGCCTTGAGCCCAGTTCTGCCAGTGTACCTCACTCCACCCGAATCTGTGTCGGCATCCCGTGACCTGGCCTGCTTTATCCCTTTGCTTTCAGAAAGTGCTAGGTCTGTCACTTTTTCTTGGCAAGCCCTGGTTTTGCTGATACCTGAGTACCTGACCAGCTAGCTCCAGGTCTCTGCAGCAATCCAGCTCCAAGCTTTGGTGCTGTAACATGACACAGTCTGGCGTTAGAGTTGCCAAATTTTGCCACGAACTGCCACGATTTTGCTTGTTTTGTGAGGGTGGGGAGAACTATTGGTTCTGTTGATGCATCTTTACTCACAGGCTATGACTTTGTCCTTTGCACAGGTAATCCAGGAGACCAGTGGCCTCCAGTCTGAAGGAGGCAGTGAAGGCAACCAGTACATTCCAGATTCGCAGCGTCTTAGTTACCCAAAGGTACATATTGTCTCTACAGAGAGGAAAAATAGCACTTTTAGTACTTCTTTTCCACCCTGATCCTATAATAAATGACAGTTAGAGTTGTAAGTACAGTAATTTTATCTGCGCAGAGACTGATACAAGTGTAACCAAACTCTTATTCTGCTGAAAGGAGCTTTATTGGAACGATCTTCATTTTCCTTTGCAGTCTTAATTTTGTTGCTACATTTTTCCCCACAAACTGACTCAGCACTTGGACTCTCCCCTGTACAGAGAGCAGCCATTATCTCATCCGACAGGACGGTTGTGCTGACCAAGAATTTTTTGAAGGGCAAATAAACCCTTGGATGCAAGGGCTTGAGCAAGTCTCTAATCTGGGTTAAGGCGATACTCCCCTGAGGCCAGCTTATTGCAAAACAGTCAGAGGAGAAGAAAATCTTCCTAAGTTGGTGGACACCTGAAATAGGACTGCCTAGGCACCTGGCCATTCCTCTGCTCCTGCCCATACCCTGAAATGAGGACTTGCATAGGCCCACAGACAGGCTGCAGGGCAGCTCAGGACACGCAGGCTTAGAGTGGGTACTAGCAGTATGACCGCGGCACCTCAGAGGTGAGCACAGCCAAGACGCTTTGCATGCCAGACTCTGCCCATGCCAGGTGTCCTGACCTGCGCTGCACAGACACCCACGCCTGCGCTCAGAAACAGCGGGGAAGGGAGCAGCACGAGCGGGCAGGAGGAAGTTGTAGCTGGATGTCTTCGTGAAAGCAACAGAGAAGGTGGGACCGTACTGTTTAGGAGGGGGGGAAAGGTGCTGACAACCACAGGCCTCCAGAGATAGAGCTTAGGGGAGATCCTGAGCTGATGTAAGTCAGCAAAGGCTCAGGGATTTCAGTGGAAAGACACTGATTTCTGCCAGCTGGAGTCCTCTACCTGCATGTTCGGCATCCGCATGTACCATGTACTTGGGCGTGCACAGCATCTGTGGTTCTGTTTGTCCTTCTGTGATGTGTGCGTGTTTGTGATCCCAAATCTGTACCATGTCTGGCTTTACTGGCTTCAAGTCCCAAGCCTTGGATTTCCTACCCAAGCAATTCCTGCCAGAAAAGAAATTCCTTGCCGGCACTGGCTGTGTAAGGATGGGTTGCATGCATCTCTACACAGCTCATGTGTGGTGCTTGTTGACAGGTAGAGCTATCCGAGAGATATTCTGCAGCCTCAGAGAGTGGGAGCAGCACAGATGGCCACCCAGAGATGACTGAAGCAAAAGATGGTAAAAAAACCTCACACCGGGTTAAAACTGAAAACCAGGCCATAAACCCTGCATGGAATGAGGGTTTCTGTAGCTCCTCTACAGCTGCCACCTCTCCTCCCTGAACCCCAAACTGACCTGTTGCAGACCTGATACATGTGAATTCAGTGTCTGTGAATTTGATTTCATAGCTTTTTCTATGATGAAGTGACAGGTGGACATTGGGCGTTCTCAGCAGTTACAGAGCTAGCATAGGCTTAAGAAACCTGGGTTTGGTGCCCTGCCCTATCTCACAGCTCCTGTGTGACTTTGGGCAAGCCACTTTGGGACAGTTTTGGGCAGCATAACTGCTATCCAAGTGACTTGCTGCATGGACCTCTATAGCACAAATTGGAGTGCCTTTGTAAAATGCTGAACTGTCTCCAGAAAGAGGAATTAGACCCTCATACCAGGCCATCTGACTCTAGGCTTTAAGCTCCATTCCCCATCTATAAACTGGGACGGGTAAGTACATTAAAAGAGGAGACGCTCTGTTAGAAGGGTGATGGGGGCCATCTACATATCAGAGAGGGAGATATCTATGCTAAGAGCTCACTACTGCTTTTGTAGCCTAACAGATGGAGCCGGGCTGCTGAATCCCTCTACATTAGGACTATGTCATTTTATTATGATAGAGAGGAAGAAAATCTGAACTAAAGAAATCAAGCTTGATTTCTTACCAGGATTCCCTGATTTTTACACAGCCACATCCATGTTCACACACTGACTGGTATTCCTCCCTGGTAGGTAAATGCTGAAGAGGCTGTTTGGAAATAAGCTTTTCCTCTCCTTACACAGTAAGGACAGTAAATATTTATGGGTGATGACTTTTAATTTAATTCTTTCTCATGTAAGGAAGTGAAGGGAGATTAGCACCTGCAGAGCAAGATCTGTGCAGACAGTCTTCCCACAGCTCCGACCATGACCAGTGGTTTTTGGCACTAACCCAAATTTAAAGCAAGGTAGATTAATGTCTTACTCTGCCAATGATAAGCTATGTGATTTTGGGCAAATCACATAGATGTCTGAGATTAATGGTGCTAAGGACTGTGCCTTCTTGCTCTTCATCTCCCTGTGCCTTGGAATATTACAGCATGACCCTGAGTTGCAGATTTGCAACACAGAGAGGACAGAATGGGAGAGGCTCAGATGCTGTGGGAGTGCAAGCTGTGAAAATACAGAAGTTGGTGACTATAGTATGTGTGTGTGATGTATGTGCTGCAGTGCTGTTTGGTACATGACCCCAGTGCAGGCAGCTGTGGGACAGGACATCCAGCTGGGACAGCAGGCTGTGTGTCTGGCTGTGAGTCAGAAGAGCCATGCCCAAGTCTGTTTGTTTATTTGTTTTGTTAGTTAAGAAGAAAGGCACAACTGGCCTAAAACTAAGCAACCTGATGAACCTTGGGAGGAAGAAATCCAGCTCCATGGACAGCCCAGAGAGATCTCTGGAGACTTCAAGTAAGTGCCAGCATGTATCCCCATGTGGTGGCTTGTCTCGGGGCTGGATCTTAATGTGAAGTGAGGGCTCACTATTCTTCATCTCACCCACTACACGCATACTCCAAGTTGCCCTGGAGGTATAAAGAGGAGGTATAAAGGCCACAGTCCACTCAGTCCCTGCCACTAAATCTGTGCGGATTATGGTACCTCTTACACGTTAAGGTGACTCTGTTGCTTACGAGGTAAGAGCTTGCAGGATGACCCAAGGGGAAGGGTAGATAACATTAGACATGTACAGAGAGGACACTTGTGCTGTTTTTTCTAGAAACTAGGCCAGGATGTGGGTTTTGGCAGGGAGAGGGCTGTGTGGGTAGACTGGAATTCATCTTCTGGGACAAGCTTTGCCCAACTCTCTGCAGCCAGCTTACTGCTCCAGACCTGACTGGAATTTCAAGGGCCCCATTTTGAACAGATTTTCATCCTTTTCACTTATTTTTACATGGCTTGGGGCATGTCTTTGCTTGGTATCTGTGCTTTTGGTCTTTGTTGCTGCCTAACTGACTTTGTGTTCTCCAGTGATCCCAGAACTGACTTACTAGCCAAACATCCCAGTACCTGGAATAAGTTTGGATTTCCTCTCCCAATGGGGTTGAAAATATGACCAAGTGACCTGTGCTTGCTTGCAGGTTACCTGAATGTGCTAGTGAACAGTCAGTGGAAGTCCCGCTGGTGTCAGATAAAAGATGGTCACCTCCATTTCTACCAGGATAAGAACCGAAGTAAAGTGGCTCAGCAGCCCCTGAGTTTGGCGGGTTGTGAAATTATCCCAGAGCCGAGCCCTGATCATCTCTATTCCTTCCGTATCCTGCACAGCGGAGAAGAACGGGTCACTCTGGAGGTAGGGTATATATCTCCCAGCCAGCTCTGCTTTAAACCATCAGCTTGGGTGTCTTAGCAGGCCTATAACCTCTCACCGCCTGCAGGCTACACGCTGGTAAAGTCCTCCAGAGAAGCCCTCAATCCAGCAAAACAGAACCTGAAGCACAGGACTTCAGTTCATCTGACTTCGGCCACCTAGAAGGTGTCCAGCCTGCACTGGTAGTCCAGGCTGCCTCTGATGCTGGCATCTCCAGAGGACCATTCAGCCTTCATCTTAGGCACTCATCTTAGGATGGGATGAAGGGTCCTCTGGAGATGCCCATCTCTCTCCACTGGCTATAGGATGACCTTGGATGATTAAGTTATATGGGACACATTTTAGATGGTTAATGTTAAGTGAGATGAATCCCACTCTAGGGATTTAAGACTGTGGTTAAGAGGAAGAGAGAACTTTTTTCTTTATCATGTGAAAACAGAGTCCCAAAGCCATAGGTCGTGGATGCATCCCACCTCAGCCAATCACAGACTTGCTCCTGAAAGTGCAAGTAAATTCATCTCCATACGTTACTTTCCTTTGCCTGCGTCCAGGTCTGTTTATCTCTAATCTTAGTTCTTGCTGACGGCAGCGTGATTACAGTAGGAGGTGGACACAGTGAGCAATTTCCTGTATTTTTCCAGTGGGTGGAATATTTATAGCTAAACAACTGACTTCGAGTGCTGACCATGGAGTCTGAAGGTGTTTTTGTTTAGCTTGTGAATCAAGTTATGTCTATGTCCAAGAAATTTCACCTAATTACAGATGTGAAAAGAGATACTGGGAAAATTTACATTTTGTGAATGGGAGAAACCGCATTTTGTTAGGATGTCGGACTCAATGTACAGACTAGTTGGCTGGCTGGCTTCCCAGGCACTGAAGTTTGTGCTAAATAAAACAAATTGGAAGCTTAAAATATACTTTCCAGTTTGGGATTCACTTGCCCTGAATTGTATTTTGTTTCCTGCTAGAACTCCTAAAATCAAAACAAAGCATGTGGGCATCAGCCCATTTTTTTCTTGCTTCAGGTGGAAATAATTCACTACCAGGAAGTACATGTGGCTGTTTGCTAGAGCTAACTTCAGGGCACAATGTTTAACTTTCAACTTTTGCATACCCCCAAAACGTCAGACTGTTGACTTGCATCTGGGAATTTGGTATTGACCATGGTAAAGCTGGGGACTCTCTTCAAAGTTCTTTTCTGATCAGGCTTTAAATTCTTCCCTTGTCTTCTCCACTGTGCAAACACCCATGGAAGAGTTTCGGGCTCGGGCATAAGGAATTTAACAAGCTCTCTGATGCGCTCAGATCTCCTTGCAAGTCTGTGTTTGGAAATCGCATTACTGCACTCTACTGGTGCAAAATAAAAATGTACTCTTTCCTCCAAAGATGGCTCACCTAACACATCTACAGCCATGGAGAAAGTTTTTTTAATTGTGTAGGCAACTGAGTCCTTTCACCATTGAAAGGAAAAGGCAGACTGACTACAAAACAAGAACTTAAGTGCAGAAATGCATTTAGAGGTCTACCAAATTTGCAATTCAGTCCCACACATGGAGCTGAACTTCTTTCTTTTTTTAACTTGCGCTTAGGCTTAATTTAAAAATGCTGCAGTTCATCTTTCTCCTTGCAGGTCAAGAGGTTTGTCAGCTTACTTCCCTACCTCGTGCTTAATAAGCATTAGCCTTGCTAGTTCAGGAAAACTGCCGTTGCAACCTGTAATGATCTGTCTGATCACCTTGTAGGCCAAGTCCTCAGAGGAAATGGGCCATTGGCTGGGCCTTCTCTTATCGGAGTCAGGTTCAAAAACCGATCCAGAGGAATTTACCTATGATTATGTGGACGCCGATAGGGTTTCCTGCATTGTAAGCGCTGCGAAGAATTCCTTCTTGTAAGTCACAGCGATAACATGTCGTTCCCTGCGTGGGTGCTTGGGAGCTGATGGAAGGGAAACAAGCTAGAGGGAGGAAGAGGGTGTCCCTCCGTTTGCCAGAGGCTGGCTGCAGAGGAGACTATGTAGCTTGTTTCAAAGCTGCAGCTTGGTCACTTTGAAGGCTCAGTGCCAGATAGGAGAGCTCTTGTTGTTGTCCGAGGGTACCGTGCCTAACCTGAGCCTTAGCTGCCCCGGGGCTTGGGGCACATACCCAAGCTGCTTTTGTGAGGACCTGGTTGATGGGGTTAGGCTGTTAGCTGGGGGCGCAGCACTGTAGGCGTGCAGCCAGCTTGCAGAGCTGCTGTGCCACTGCAGCAAGCTAATAGCATCTGTGCAGTGCTGTACTGTAGGGCTGGACAAGAAAGGAAAGAGCTACGGGGAAATACAGTTCCCTTCCCATGGATGCTGCTGAATGGGAAATGAGAGCAGTGAGCACATTGCTGCACGACTCTTCCTTCTCCCCTCCTGCATTTGGCCATATGGCCCTGTCCAGACCCCAGGACTGCTGTGCACAGATGCCTAACGGGCTGCCATGCCAGGGGAGAGCCCCACATTCAGCACAGCAGGTGGCCTGCCACGGCCATGCAGCAAGACCGATCGCCCCTGATAGGATGTCCTGCTGATTGTTCACAGCTTAATGCAGAGGAAGTACTCTGAGCCCAACACCTATATCGACAACCTGCCGAAAGGG